TTTTTTTTGGTTTTTCTCTGGTACCGGGAACCGAACTCACGACCTTGCGCTTGCCAGGCAGGCGCTTTTGCCGCTGAGCTAAATCCCCAGCCCCTAAAATTAGAATTTTAGAATATCAGAGCTCCTCACAAAGGAGACCTAGCTCACTTGGATTTGGGAAATGCTTACCATTAAATGCTTAGATGAGAATATTTAGATTAAAGAACAAGTTAAATCAATTGGGAAAAAGGATAATGCCTAAACCAATGAATCATAATAGATTTCACGAACAAACAGAAAAGCATTTCCCTAACCTCAAAGTGCCCAACTGAAGAACTCATGGAATACATACTTTAAGGCATCCAAAGTCTCTAAGGAATTAAAGTTCAGGAGATAAATGTAAAAGCATAGTGATATTTTCATACTTGAGATGATGTATGTTCACTAGGACTTACTTCTGCTTAAAAAACCAAGGCCTTACAGTTGCTCAAACTATCATTTCATGTTTAAGAATGACCTTTAAGTGCTGCAGTCTCATAGGCTTATTGTCTCATTCTTTACGGCACAGGCTAGAACACAGTTGAGACAATTAATTCAAGATTATCTACAACATGAATTATACAAAGTAAATCTTGACTCTAATTATAAAAAATGTATTCACTTCGTAACTCTGGATAAATCTGAGGCAGAATACATAAAAAAATGAGCAGGAAAATTTGCTTTGGTAATGGTTTATTGTAACCTCAAGAGAGAAGTTCTTGAATGGTTGTGCGCTACATGAGAAGAGGTTCCAGGAAAGTGATGGTTTTAGGAGTTGGCATACAAATACAGAGACCAATAAAATGCCAGAAGACAAGGAAGGTCACATATCAGATTGAAGCAGGGAATTCAACTACTCTCATCAACAATTCTAAACTGAAGACTTACAGTGCACACTGCTCAACGATGCACTGTTTTTAAAGAAGAAATCCGAATGTGAGAGGATATCCTACTGAGTTTATTTAGCACTTGACATCAAACTATCAAAGTTTTCTCAATGCCCTCAGAGGTACCGGACCTCTGTTTTTATTAATCTAACACTTGGCACTTAGACTCTAATATTAAGAATCTTATCACTTTGTGCTATAATTTCTTGTGGTGCACTTATCTGTCCTTTTCACAGAAGGAAGCAAGCATGCTCTCACTGCCTCTCTAGCTTCTTCAGTGACTTTGGTTTTCTTGCTATGGTTTTAACATCTTTTGCAACAATGGCTATTCCTTTTTGCTTTCAGATATAAACACTCTGGTTGGGGCTGGGGATTTACCTTTAGTGGCACAGTGCCTGCCTGGCAAGCACGAGGTTGTGAGTTCAATTCCCGGTACCGGAAAAAAACAAAAACAAAAGCAAAAA